GAGCAACCAAGAAGAGCCAGTGTGTGCTCTGCCTCTCCTGACAATGGCTTTCCCTTTCCCTGGGACACTGCAGGAAGGGGCTGGGACCATCAGAACTAATTAACCACTCTAATGGAATGAACCAGTTTTGTTGGAATTTAGCCCAGGTGGGAGGAATCTGTACTTTTCTAGATGGAGAAATACTGAGTGCCAAGGAGTCCTGCCAGCTGGGCCCTGAGCTGGTGTATGTGTGTGTGTGCGCGCGCGCACGTGCGCGTGTGTGCATGCGAGCTATCTCTGGATGCAGGCTGGGTCTCTATCCCAGCAGCCTTGAGTGAAGAGGGCTCTACGGGCCTGCTTAGCTTGTCCTGGTCCTGTGACTCCCATGAATACTGTTCTACAGGCAGAGGCCACATGGGACCCCATATCATTTTCTACCCTTGGCCCCACCATAGGCCCAGCTCAGTGTCCCAGAGCTCACTGCAGCTCCTTAGGCCTCAAATCTCTCAAGGAGAATTTACCTGTGAGCTGGCACTCAGGTCCCTGCCAGACCTATGACTCCAGGTCCTGGCCAGGCCTGAGCTGTGGCCTGCACCCTTCTGGGCCTTTTCCCTTAAGAACTGGGGCATCAGAGTCCATCTTCTGGGTTCCCCAGAGCCCCAGATACCAAACACAGCTACCCAACCCTGCCTTCTGCCCCTGTGCAGAACCATTATGGCTGACCTCCACAAGGCCCTGAGGGCTGTCCTCTATGCCGAGCTCTTCCCAGGCCCGTCTTGGGAAGGCTCCCAGCATTTGGTTTGGAGCCTATTAGTCTCTGCAGGCTGCTTGTGGGTGAGGGTGGGAGGCAGGATTAAATGAAATGATAAGCAAACAGGAGACTTCTAGCCTCCTCTGGCTCTCTTCTTTAGTGCTTCCAAGAGAGGGAGGGAAAGGCTCTGTCACCTTCCCCTCAGTGATGATGGCTGATAAAGCAATTCAATTTATTGGGCTGGAGAGCAGAGCAGGCTGGAAAAGGATGCTGGCTCCTTGACCCAGGCCCTCAGGGAGGAGGGGTAAGTCCCTGGCCAGAGCTGGAGTGTCAAAAGGGGGAGATGGGAGTATCAATGGAGAGAGACCTGCCTGACAGCTGTGGGACCTGCTCTTAGGCCTGGAACCTCTCAAAGCAAGTGGAGTCCAAACTGGGAAGATGGAGAAGACATTAGATGGTTCCTGTTGCCCCAAAACGGCTGAGCCCCACTCCAAGCCCCAGTAGGGAAAGAGGAAGGGTAAATGGCTTTAATGTCAGGCTCTCCAGCTTTGGGAGGGCAGGGCCGGCCTCAGCTCTCAGAGACCAAGGGCCTTATTTGAGGGGCTATAGAAAGGCGACACTTGCCAGCCCCTGTTAGTGTCACTCTGGGAGCAAACATTGCCCTCTTTTTTTTTTTTTAAAAGATTTTATTTATTTATTCATGAGAGACACACAGAGAGAGGCAGAGACACAGGCAGAGGGAGAAGCAGCCTCCTCGCAGGGAGCCCGACGTGGGACTCGATCCCGGGATCATGGGACCCCGGGATCACGACCTGAGCCAAAGGCAGACGTTCCACCACTGAGCCTCCCGGGCGTCCCCACTACCCTCTTGTGCCATACTTCATTCCTGGTGAGGGGAACCACCGTGGCAGCCACAGTAGTGCCAACTAGCACCCAGACAGGTGCTCTTTTCTGACTGCTAGAAGAAACCACGGGGCCCAGGGAAGGAAGAGGGAGACCAGGTGACCATGAAGGGAAGGAGGCTCGTAGATTAGGAATTCCCAGCTGTGGCTATTTCACAGGCTCGCTGAAGCCAGCTGGTCATCAGAGCCTTGGAGGAACGGAAAAAGGCAAGAGCAGGCTGAGTGCTGGCGGGAGACTACGGCTGGGGGCTGACAGGAAGCCCAGAATGGGTTGTCAGCCCAAGCCCAGGACCCCCTTTCGTCCTCCCCCCAGCCCAGCGGAGGCGCGGTGGCCAGCCGGGATCCCTCGCACCACCAGGGGGCAGCACCCACTCATCCGGAGCAGGCTGTCACAGGGCGGGCTGGGCCCAGGCTCCTACCCTGTCCTGGGCTCCCTACTGTGGGGGACTAGGAGGCCTCACACACTGGAACTGAGACAAGCCTTGTAATGCCAGCTGCAATGTGCTGAAGCCCCCAGAAAGTCCCAGCAAGGCCAGGTGACAGGTTAGCTCAGAGCTCGAGGATAAAACTTCCAGAAGTGGTGAGGACTTCTCCAGAGGCCTCTGGCCTGAGGCGGAGCTGCCCTCTCGGGGAGCTGGGCAGTGCCGGGAGTCAGGGACCCTTGCACCGCCTGCACGTTAACTCACTGCCCCTCCCAGCCTGGGCCTTCGGTGTTCCTGGCTCTTCCTGGGTTCCCCTACCGCACCCCAGCTTTTTGAGACTCCTCCAAGGCCTCCTATTTGCCTGGTAGCTTTCTCCCTTTACCCATCTCCCCACATGCCTATCACCAACCACAAACACTGCAGAATGGAAGGACCAAGGGTCCTTGGGATGGGCGGGGGCAGGTCAGGCTGCTGTATTCATTGATTTCCAAGGCCTGGACAGCTTCTGGCACACAGTAGGCACTCAAGAAATATTTATTGGGTGAGCAAACAACTCAGCTGTGGGATGCTAGGATTTTTTTTTTCATTCTTCCCACCCTACTCCCATCAATTTCTCCTTCTTTTTAGAATGACTGAGTGCAGCCAGCCTGAAAAATGCAAAATGGAGGAGACCACAAGAGAGTCCACCGGGACACAGCCAGGTAGCAGGTTAAAGCTATTCATTGCAGTCGGTTCTTTAAAATCCTTGCTATGGCTCTTCCTTTCTCCCTCCAGCTTCTGGCCAGTCCCGGGTCTTCTCTTCCCAGTCACATTGGAGATATGTCTTCTTTGCTGCAGCAAACTCAAAGCCAGCCAAACTCTGAGATGCAGACATTACGGACTGGACACAGCAAATGTATGTTTCCGGCTCCTGTCCAGGCTGGCAGCCGCCTTCTCTGCATGTTAGTACAGATCGCCACAGACCACAGTCACTCTGGCTTTCTGACCTCATTAATGAGACCTCTGCTGAGGAGCCTTTGCATTTGCATTGAGCTTTGAACATTTCCTTGGAGCACATCCAGGCCCTTGTCTTGTTTTCCCAGGATAGCCAGGTACTGCTGCCTAATCCGGGAGTCGGATGGCGCACAGGTGTCCAGACCAGGCCCACTGCCTTGCATTTCAGCCTTAAAATCTTCCTTATGTCATCCGGATGGACAGGGAGGCTACCTGAAGCTGTAAAAATAGGAGGATTAATTTAAAGACGTAGGAGAGGCTCTGGACTTAAAAGCAAATAAAAACAAATAAATCTGGAAATTGCTCTTGGGATGAGGCCAGTAAGTTGGGGCTGGAGCCGAATGTTTTGGGTATGGAAGCTTCTCAATCACTTAGCAAACAGGTTCTCAGAGGCAGGCGCTGTGGGGGCTATCACGCTGAAAAGCGGTGCCCTCTGGAAGGCTTCAGGGCCAGAGGGGGGAGCTGAGAGGAACTGCCAGGAGCACAACGACGCAGACACCAGGAGGGGGTCGCCCGGCAGGACGCGGGTGGCTTTAACCGGGGGTCCTTCAGGACCGCGCACTCCACATCCACAATAGTGCCAGACACAACCAGGTTTTCTTCCACCCAGACCGGGAGCCAGTTGTCTGCACAAGGCTCCCAGGTCCCCCTCTCTAACGCGGGGGCCTCGGGGATGGTGGCAGGGCCCGACCATGCAGACCACAGCCATCTGGGGCCTAGCTGGGCCTCGGAGGCGCAAAGGTGGGGGCGGGGTGGTCAGGAAGCCCCACAGGGTGCCTGGGACGGGCGGGGGCAGCCTCCCGGGGACACCTCTCCACTCCCCCCTCCCCCGTGCTCCGGTCCGCCGCAGTGAACCCGCCACGCGAGTGGGGAGGGGGCGGGCCGGGTCGGAGGTCAGGGGTCGCCGAGGCTGCGGCGGGAGGAGCTGCGGGGCGCGGGCGGGGGCCGGGGCGGGGGCGGCGCGCCAGGCTGGGCGCCGGCGGCGAGCGGGTTACGCGGCGGCTCGGCGCGTCTCGGCGGGCGGAGGGAGGCTGAGCCGGTCGGCCCCGCGCCCGCCCCGCCGAGCGCGCGCGGCCGAGCCGGGCCCCTGAGGAGAGGGCGCCGCGGAGAGCCACCGCCGCCGGAGGGAGGTCGCGAGCCCGCGAGCCCGCGAGCCCCCGAGCCCCCGAGCCCCCGAGCCCCCGAGCCGCGGGCCGCCGGCGCCCGGACTCCCCCGCCCGGAGATGGGCCGACGCGCGGATGGCGTGGCTCCCGGCGCCGCCAGATGGCAGGAGCCCGGCGCCGGGGCGCTGCGCTGAGGCTCGGAGCGGCGCAGCCCCGGGAGCCCGCAGGTGTCCTTGGCCGCCCGGCAGCCCCGGCCCGGGCCCCCGCGCCGCGCAGGACGCCGCGTCCGAGCCCCCCGCCCCGGCTCGGCCCCCGCCCGGCCGCGCCCCGCGCCCCCGCCCGCCCGGACGCCGCGTCGGTCGGCCCCGCCCGCCTCGTGCCGGCGCCGGATTTATGAATCGGGGCGGGAGGCCCCCGCCGCGCTGACCGCCCGCGCCCCGGGCCCGCGGCCGCCCCGGGGACTTGTTGCTGCGCCGCCGCCGCCGCCGCCGCCGCCGCCGCCGCGAGCCGAGGGCGGCCCGTGAGAGCTGCGCGCCCCGGCCTCCCGCGCCGCCCTGGGCGCTCCCTCGCCTCGCGGGCCGCGGGGGGCGTGTCCGGGGCCGCCGCGCTGCGCCCCCGCCCGCCCGCCCGCCCGCCCGCCCGGGCCGCCCGCCCGGCCCGCAACCACCTGTGCGCCCGGCGGAGCCGCGTCGTCCCGCCCCGCGCCCCGGGGGGAGGCAGGGGCAGGGCCGAGCCGCGGAGGGGCCGCCGCCCGCCCGCCGCTGCCGCCGCCTCGCCCGCTCCCCGCCCCCGCTGACGCTGCCTCCTCGGGAAGGGTGTTTGGAGGGCAGCGGCCGCCCCAAGCCGGAGCCCCGCGCGAGCGCCTCTTATGATCAGCTCGGTGTGCGTCTCCTCCTACCGCGGGCGCAAGTCGGGGAACAAGCCTCCGTCCAAAACATGTCTGAAGGAGGAGATGGCCAAGGGCGAGGCGTCGGAGAAGATCATCATCAACGTGGGCGGCACGCGACATGAGACCTACCGCAGCACCCTGCGCACCCTCCCGGGCACCCGCCTCGCCTGGCTGGCCGACCCCCATCCCGACCCCCCACCCCCACCCCCCACCCCCATCCCGACGGCGACGGCGACGGCGACGGCGACGGCGGGGCGCGGCCCGGGCCCGATGGCGGCGGCGGCGGGGGCCGCGAGTTCTTCTTCGACCGGCACCCGGGCGTGTTCGCCTACGTGCTCAACTACTACCGCACCGGCAAGCTGCACTGCCCGGCCGACGTGTGCGGGCCGCTCTTCGAGGAGGAGCTCACCTTCTGGGGCATCGACGAGACGGACGTGGAGCCCTGCTGCTGGATGACCTACCGGCAGCACCGCGACGCCGAGGAGGCGCTCGACATCTTCGAGAGCCCGGACGGGGGCGGCGGGGCGGCGGGGCCCGGCGAGGAGGCGGGCGAGGACGAGCGCGAGCTGGCCCTGCAGCGCCGGGGGCCGCACGACGGGGGCGCGGGCGCCGGGCCCGGGGGCTGCCGCGGCTGGCAGCCCCGCATGTGGGCGCTCTTCGAGGACCCCTACTCCTCCCGGGCGGCCAGGGTGAGTGGCAGGAGCCCGGGTCTCCTGCGGCGTGCGCACCGACCGGCGGGGGCGGGGGGATGCGGACGGACCCCACCCCTGCCTCCCCGCCGTGGCCTCGGCTCCCCGGACCCCCGGGGGCCCCATCCCCACCCCCACCCCCACCCTCTCTGCTGCGCGCCTCCCCGGGAGATGGCACACGCTCGACTTACTACTTGGACCGAATCCCAGCTGCCCGCTCTGCCGCATCCCCTCCCGGGGACTGGGGTACCCTTACCGGAGCTCCTCCACTCCCTCTTTTTGCGCGCAGGCCGCCTCTCTTCACTTGCCGCCCCCCCTCCCTGGAGCCGGCGGCCCGGAAAGCTGGAAGGGGCCTCCTGCCTAGGGCGGGGGCAGAAGCCGGCGTGGAGGGCCCGCTGGGGGCGAGCCCCTGCCTTAGCTTCTTCCGCCCGCCACCTCCCTCGGGTGCTCCGGGCAGCACCCTGTGCTGAGAAGTCTGAGCTCAGTGGAGGGGTCGCCGGCTTCGGCCCATGACAGACAGAGCTGGGACCAGAGCCCAGGCCCCTCATCCAGGTTGCCAGAGGGCCCTTCCTTCAGGGAGCTCAGTCAAGGTGTCTGCCCCGGGCCATGGCCCTGAGGCCCCCTGGTCACCCGGGATGGCCTGGCTTCAGCTACACAGGAAGAGCCTAATGTTCTCGGGGCTGCGGGGTCCTGCGGTCAGTGGCCAGCCACAGGCTACCTGTGATATCCTAGATTTGTTGACACTTCTCTCCTTCCTGCTGTGGCAGATTGGCTTCCCAGAAAGCCCTGGTTCAGGTTACTGCTTGAAACGGGAATATGGAGGGAGAGGGGGGTGGTATAGGTCGATTTAGGCAAGGTCCAGTCCTTTCCCACCACACCACCTCCTGCTCAAGTCGACCCAGTTTCTCCCAACCCCCTTAGGTAAAAGGGGGTAGACGGGCCGAGATATGCTTGGACAGCTTAAAAAAAAAAAAAATCCCTGGAAGATGGCTTTAGATCCCTTAAAAAAAAAAAAAGAAGAAGAAGAAAGAAGGAGAAGGAGAAGAAGAAGAAAGAGCACCCTGGGGGCTGCTGTCTGGCTTCATGGCTGACATGGCCTGGCTGGGGTCTGTCTGGGAGACAGGAAAGAGCAACAAGCATTGTGTCTGGGGACCGCCTCCTGCTGTGCTCACTTCTGGCATCCCAAGTTGTCCTGTTAATGAGTCTCAGGGCCCTGTCACCCTCCCCAGCACCTCTTGAGCCTAGGCCTCCAGCTAGTCATGGAAGGAAAAGTTCTTTCCCTCCCAGGGGAGAACGGGAGACCGAAATAGGGCTGCAGGGCAGGCCGAGCTGGTGTCAATGCCAGACTAGGGCAGATGCAGCTCCTGCCTGGAAGGAGCGGAGGTCTCAGTGGCAGAGTCCTACCAGGCTGGGGCTGCAGGCATTCCCAGGACAGCCCCTCGAGGGCAGAGATCTTTTCCAGGACTGAGAATGAAGCCCTGGCCCACTGCCTCCGTTTCTTCTTCTGTAGGCCTGAGATCAGCTCAGAAGGTGAGGGCCCCATCATGCCCTGGCCTGCGTCTGCTGTGAGTTCTGGGGGCTTCTCATGCACTTCATTTATTCTGCTCTTGTCAGCTCTGGAGGCAATGTGTGCTAGGAGAGAGCGACAAGTACTGGATAATTCAGGTTCTTTCCAAGTTGGGGGTAAGGGGAGAAGGCGGTAGATTTGGCCTCATAGCAATGGTGAAAGGGGACAAGCCAGGGAAGCAGGAATGAGATGAGGTGGTTAGGGGAGCTAGATCCTGTTTCTGAGCATTCTGGGGTCCCTGGGGGGACTTTTCACCTTCTCTGGTTCTTTCTCGGATTCCAAGGGACTGTGCCATCAATCAGTTTATGTTCCGCTCAACAAACCCCAGGGTGGGCCAGCCAGGGGTCTCTCTGAGTCAGCTCAGAGCCTTTGAATTCCTCCAGGAGCCTGAGATACTCACCCTTTTGATAGGGAATCACATCAGCCATGGCATTGCCAGTTGAGGTGAGGAGTCTGGGACCAGGCAGGGTTAATTCTTCGTATCGAAGCAATGAAGAACCAGGTATCAGAAGTGTCAGATGTGGTCAGAGACACATAAAGTAACAACAGAGCAGGACTCTTCGCTAGTGTTAACTTTCTGGTTGTGAATACTGATGTGAACAGCTGTATGGAGCCTCACAGCACTTGTCCCCAGAGAGGACTTGCCTCCTGCGAAGGAGCACAAGGCAGGGGCCAGCCTTCCATTCAACTCTTCTTGGCACTTACAAGTGAGAAAAGATAATAATAAAAAAAAATTTAATAACTGCTATTTGTGGAACATTCCATGTGAGTACATTACATGAAGTCCTGGTCAGTCCTCCCAAAAAACAGAGTGGAGATCTCCTCCCAGTTCAGTAGATTGAGGCCATGAGAGGGAAGCATCTTGCCGGAGATGACACAGCCAGCTTGCGGCAGCCTGTGAGTCCAAGCCCCTACTCTTCTGATTGCAACATGTTCTTTCCACTGAGTGTGGCTGTTTGTGAGGTGGAGAGGTGGCTTTTTTCTTATTCTGGCCTGGAAGGTTTTCTGAGGCTCTGTACTTCCTGTGAGTGACATCAGAAAACCCAGGGGCAGACAGGGACATCAGAAGAGACATTGACATCTAGGGTACTACCCTTCCAGGCCCGAGGGCCCGAGGTGTGGGGTTCTGGGGCTGTGCCCTCCCTACTCTGTTTCCCCCAGGCCAGTACCACTGCCCCTCCAGCACTGTCCCCTGGGTCTGGGGCCCGGCGGCATCGGCCACAGGCTCGTGGCGTTCACTGAAGGCCAGCGGGGCAGAGGAGGAGCACTCAGCCCCAGGCGTCTCTGCACACAGCAGCTGGTCATCCGAATAGTGCGTTGTGACAGGAGCAAAACAGATACAAACGGGAGAGTGAACTGAGCTGATTAGGGAGCCTGTTGCCTGTAAGCTACTGACCCGGCCCGCAGAGCCGTCCCCGATCGCGCAGGTTCTAGGCCGGTGGGGTGCTCACCCCTGCTCCCCGCACTGTGACCAGGCCCATGGTGGCCACTGCTGTGGTCCTGTCTCTGTGGCCTGGCCTGGGTGCTGACATGACGGCCAGGCCGGTGCCTCCCCACCTGCCCAGCACCCCCAGGCCCAGGCTCAGTCGTGGCCACGATGGCTTCCCAGCCTGATGAATGGGACCCCGGGACATTCCTTTCACCCCCAGCCTCTCGAGGACCCAGGCTGGGTTACCAGCCCTCTTGAGAAGGATAGTCATTGTCCTTTGGCTAAATCAGTACGTGGATCAGTTTTCCCGTAAGGTTTCCCTCTGAGAAGAGGATGTGATCTGAGGATCTCGGTAGCCCCAGGAAGGCAGCCGGGGCTGGGTTTTCACGTGGGCTGACAGCCACTGCGGGTTAGGTGCTGTCCCCTGTGCACCTGTGCTGTGTTCCCGGCTCTCAGCTGGCCTGGGGGAGGCAGGGGCGGTTGACCGGTGTTCAGTGAGGCGGTCCTGAGGCCCGGGGCGGGGGGCGGGGGGTGGGGAGGTGGTGCTTGCTCAAGATCACACAGCTGGTGGTAGAACTAGGCTCCAAACCAGATCCCAGAACCCACGTCGGCACGTGTAACCACACCTGCTGCCAGCAGAAGGCCCCCTCCCCGCCCCGCAGCCTCCCTGTCACTCCTCCCTCCAAACTCAAGCCCCCCCTCCCCCTCCCTAGAGTGGCTCTTCTCTGCTCTGGCTCTCTTTGATTTTTCCTCACTGTGGGACTTTAACAAAAAGAAAGAGGACTTAGTTACAAGAGGAGGCCCAGGCGGAGGAGGGAAACGGAGACCTTGGAAAGAAAGGCAAAGCTGCCTTCTGGCTCATCCCTCCGGAGGGCGCCCAGCTTCTCTGCCTGGCCGGTGCCTGGGCCAGCCAGCTGCGGGGCAGGATCCTGTGGTCCCAAGGCTGCTGGGCTCGTCAGAGCCAGGAAGCCAACCCGGGAGGCTAGGTGCCCTATCTTCCCCAGTACTCGGGGCAGGGGCAGCCAGCCTGTGCCGTCCCAGGAGCAGGAGGGTGTCAGGCCAAGGGTGCAGGCCTCTTCCCGACCCTGCCTCCAGGCAGCCTCCTAGTCTCCTCCTGGGTTTGTTTTGTGGTGTTTTTTTGTTCTAAGTAGACCAACATTTTCCTCTGAACATCTTGTCTCTGGATAATGAGGTGTTTCTAGTTGTCACCATTTGGGGTGGGGTGTAAAGTGGGGGAGGGGTTAAAATAAACTTGGCCTATTTTGGGGATATGGGGGAAGAACAGGCAGGAACAGAGCCCAGCAGCTGGGCCTTGGGAACAGGGAGTCCCCAGGCCCCTGGCATCTGCCCCTGGATGGTGCTGGCTTGGCATGCTGGACACCAGGGCGCTCATGCCATCCTTGTTCCTGGGCAGCCAGCCTACCACAACCTCTGGTCCAGCTCCCTCCTAGGGGTCCTGTTGTTACTGTTGTTGTTTTGCAGGCTGGGTGATGGTTACCCAGCCCCTGGCAGGGGCTTAGTCCACCCTGGAAGGCCACAGAGTCTGAGAGCCCACGTGCCTGGAGGCATTCCTGGGCACACCTGTCCCCTCTAGCACCAGCTAGCAGGGCTGGCCATGTCTCCTTGACGGGCTCCCCAGACCCAGGAGAGGAAGCATGCAGCCACCTTGGCTCCAGTCATTGAGAAAACATTTATTGAGTACTTACTACATGCCAGACACCAAGCTAGGCCCTCTAAATATATAGATGAGTCAGACATGGTCCTGTTCCTGAAGAGAGCTAGGTCAGGTGGAGTAGGTGACAGTTGAGGGAGATTAGGTGACAAGGAATAGTGATTATCATACACGAGAGATCGTGAGAGGTGCCGCGGTAGTCTTAGGAAATAAGTCCAATAGGAGGTGAGAAGAGAAAGCGATAAATCCCACCCGTGTGTGAGGCGAGGTGGGGGAGAGGGTTGGACGGCGGGGAAGCTTCTATGAGGAAACAGAAGTTACGCTGGACGGGC